GATAATTGAAATGACAGATCATTTGTCATTTGTCATTTGAGTCATTTGCCAGTCATAATCATTTGGCAAACACTGGTATATCCTCCGCGTATCATTATTTCATCTATACAATACCATATCAAATGCAAGTGTAGGGCAAACATTAGTAAATCGCAAATTTCAGCAAACATATTAATTTCATCATCGTATAGTTCGTTTCATCGTGAAATGGATAATTATTTTCAATAAATTAAGAAGTGTGGGCAGATCCTCTTCGATTTGTGTTCCATTGTCTGTTGACAATTCAAGCATGGAAATCGTTTGAGAACCATTAAGTTTCTTGGAACTTGACCGATATTTATCATGTAAAATATACACTAGCCGTCCCACACCGTGCTGGCTGGAATCGCCACACCATCTATTTGCACATTTGTTCACCGCGGTACTGTTTCAGGTATCGCTGTTTTTTTTTTTCTGGAATATTATGCAAAATTTTAGTCAACATTTGTTTGAAAAAAATACAGCTTACTATAAATATTCCGGAATGGCTTTAGAATAGATTTATACAAAAACCCTGTTAATTTGTTCCTCTTTGAAACGATTTTTATGTAACTTCACAACGATAGTTTTTGCTAATTTAGCTTTATAATTTTGTTAGGTGCGGTCTCCTTTAAAAGGGAAAATCCTTTATCTCGTCGGGTGAAATAATGTCTTTAATTGGAGGAATATATATAGTAACTATCGACTCGATCCGTGTTTTTTAGTATAATAAACAGCATAGTGGATTTCCTAAATGTTAAGTAGTATGCGATCATTGTTTTCGAATAAACCGGATTTATTATTTCCGGATGAAACGAAGGAATCGTATTCGGATGAAATAAATTCAAATCGAAGGAAACCGGATTTAAAATCGAAGGTTAAATATCGATTCCAACCTCTAGCGAGGTATAAAAATGATGAATACTTGTTCGAATTGGAAAGACATGATATTGAGTTTTTAGAATAGTAATTCCCAGATAATCCCTTAGACCCTTAGAATAGATTTTTTATTTAGCCGCTGTGATCTCGCAACGATCTACATTAATAAAAGCCGACGTTGAGGTATTTGATTAATTATTAGTTAATTTTTATTAAATAATTTTGCATTATATTTGCTTAATTAAAAAACTTCCGCTACTTTTACCTTTGTTTAAAATATAAACTTACAAGTATTGATATATTGCAATAGTAAAACTCGAGATTGAAGAACATCTGAATGCAAATTTATTTTACTAAGAAAATTGTTTCTAATTTAAACAACAAAAATTATTTAAATTTAATTTTACAAGTGATTATAATTCAAAATATTTATCGTACCGTAGGAATGAGTAATATTATCAAGAAAATAAACTTCACGCTATAGATTAAGCTAAAAAAAATCAGGAATACCTTTCAATTTTTTAATTGACAAATCATTCAATGTTGAATCATTAAGCCACTTTTAAAAAAGTTTCATCTAAAAAAAAATGAATCGAATCAATTTAAAAAAGTAGGAAAAAATATAAAGGTTTATAAAATATTGAAATAATACAATAAAATCTTACGTACTGAAAAAAATACCTAAATAAAAAATTGGTGAATTAATCAAAAACAAAAAGGCTTCCCTATCATAAGAAATAATCAAAAGATAAATAGTCATACCAGAACAGGTTAATATGAAAGATTAATAGATAAAAATAAATAAATAAAAAAATCACATTTACCAAAAAATACAAAAGTAGTAATCTTTACTGATCATCTAAAAAAAAACACGTATAAAACTTCTTTACCCTCATAAATATAAAATTTATAAATAAGTTAGCAAGTGTATAACCTATTATAAAATAGTATTTTTTATACTTTTTTTTGTAAAATAATTCTGCTTCTCCCGAAAGCTGCAAATTCTAATTTTTAATGTCATTTACGTTTGTGATGTAGCTTTTTGGATGGAATTTGTAAATATTTAAATAAAAAAATTACATATTTTCAGTTCAAAATCTTTATCAAACTTTCAGATAGTCTTTGGGTAATTACATAAGACTAATTGAAAATAAATATTATTGCAAGTAAATCATAGAAATCGTCGGTTAAAGGCTTTTATGACCGACCGTTTGTCAACCGACCTTTAAAATTATGATTTAATGATCGCAGTATCATTTATGACTTATTAGGAGATATAAATATGATAATTTTTATTTTCACTTGTAAAAAACTTCTTATATATATAAATATTATATTTCATCGCGTACTTTAATAATTTTTAACTTATATAAATAAATATGAGTGAAATTATAATTATCAATTGGTCTGATCACGATTATGACGTGACCAATATTGATCAGATTTAAATTATAAACTCGAAAAAGGCTAATAAAACTTTTTCGGCTAAATTATTACGTCGCAAACTATTGTTCTATGGATGTATTTCTGCAGCTTCATATTCAAAACTATATGTATAGATATTATGTGTTATTCAAATCGATTTCCGACTTTGGCAATTTTCCGAATTTAGATTCCGATCCTTAATCAGGAGATTATTTTTTACAAATAGTATCTATCTATTACCTTTACAATTTTCGCGTATTCGGCTTTAATAATTAACCATGTTGTGCTTTATGAATCATGAAGAAATTAAATTTATTCAAAAGTAACTGTTTCTCATAATATTTCTAGTCTCTTTTTTCTAGTTTAAGACTTATTATTGAATAAAACTACGGAATAATTTATAGTAAGATGTATTCAGGAAAAAGAAATGAGAAATTGTATAAGGCTGTGCCAATCGCGAAATTTTTGGACTAGAATAGATATTGATTCTTTATTCAATCCATTCTTATATTTTTTAACAACTCTTTTATTTAAATAAATTAAATCATAATTGAACAGTTATTTTGATATTGATACGAATGATGCAGTACTTATTTCTAAATGCGCGTTAAATTATCCCAATTGCAACTTATTGAAAATTTGCGAATATGAGATTATTCCTTGTTTACAACTATTTCATGGTTCTATTAAAAATAACACTAGCAGCATTCTCCAACGTAAGGTCTAACATGAGTAGAACCTCCAATGATATTAATTCCTACACTCCAAGCTTCAGTAGTTTCATTTATAATTTTAAAATCAAATGCTTTATCTTCTTCAGCACCAAACACAATAATGGGACACTTAATTTTCGTAGGTTCAAAAGGTTTAAGAAGTTCGAGCATTACAGTGATAAAACTAACCTTATCGAGTTTTGGATGAATATATAATCAGGAAATTCTTTTTAAAAGGAAGTTTTCTTCATTAATTCAGGAGTTCCAATTATTGTGTTTTAAGAATAGGAAGAATTGGTGTATTTGAAAGTGATTTACGGGTGTGCTAATTTTGTAGCTATACGGTGATTATGTTGCAAATATAACTCTACCAGCCACTTTCTGTTTATTATATTTAAGATAATTTTGAAGTATTCAAAGCGAGTAACTAGCGGCAAAATGAAATAATTTAACTTGAATGTAAAAAATAAAAAATTCAATAAATAATAATGTTAATAATAACCCAACGAGAATAGGTTCTAAAATGATTGTATCAAATGGAACATCAAATGTAATATCATTTAGTGACCACCGTTGATCTTTTTTCGGAGTCTTTGTACTTTGTACATGTCCTCGAAAAGTATAATAAAAAATCATTTTAATGATTTTAGAATGCTAAACATGCCTTTGTTTCGTGGCAATCATAGCGTAATAATCATGTCCTTTATTAGAAACCAGCGACAAAATTTATTCCAAGCCAAAACTGCAGTACCTGCCCCATAATCAATTATATAAAAGTAAATAAATGGTGGATAATGTAAGTCTTCAATTTTATACTTTCACTAGAATCAACGAAAAAAGCATTCTTCTTTGCATAAATTTGTTCTGAATACATTTTTTAAAAAAACGAATGAATGTATTTGTTGATATAATTAGTTTAAATGAGGATTTTTTTTTTTTTTGAGGAAGACAATATGATTTGGATCGACAATTGTTTTTAATGACCATATTTGGATGATTTAGGTACATTACTATAAACAGCAAGTTTCCCGCACTTTTTTCAATAGAAGTTTATACTAGGTTCCTCTCCGAGCCGAGCCAGTTCGTAAACAAGATGATGTTCGAGCAAACATTCTAAAATAATCAGCAAGTTTCGTAAAGATTTTGTTACAATTTTTGCGTAAGTGACCACGATTTAAACCGAATCCATAAATCCTTATTTATAATGAACAAATTATGAATTGTTTACGTGAAAATGATTCACATTATTTGAGAAGTTGGCAATTTCATATCATTAATTTTGAAAATATCAACCATTTCATCATGCATGAAGTCATGCCCAAGCTTAATGTCGGATCCTTTAATCGAAAATATGGTCATTATATAATATCAAATGAATTTTAAACATTTCTCCTGGTATGTTCAGTAAATATACCAAATAAACTTTTCGTGTGAGTTAATATTAATATGAAAAATATTATACTAGTTCAAGTTTCGTATTGAACTTACATAATTATTTTACCATTTATTGTCCAATCCCATGCAAAAATTAAGAAATTTTTTAAATATACATATAAATATTATTTTCATAATTAAAAAAAATGGATGCTTTAAGTTTTTTAGATCACTTAGAAAAAGAAATTTTTTTTTCAGTTACACCGAACATTCATATGACCAGTGGCTTAGAAATATGATACGTTGCATGATCTACCGAACGCATTTTTTTTTCTAAAAAATTTTATCGTTACCAATTTAAAAAACAAATAAATTAATATGCAACCTTCCAATAATTCAAATGAATGGATTGAAGAATATATTTCAGGTAAAGATATCAAATGCTACGAATACAAACATTTT